GCTCACAGATGTTCCGAAATCAAGGGTTGGGCAATAGTGTGGGGCAATCTAGTAAGAGCATCAACCACGATCACAGTTCTGTACATTCGAAGAAAAATGATCTCAGACCTAGCTCCCAGCTCGAGGTGAAACCTGAAGCCCGATAAGCCCCGTAGACACAAGCCTGAACCGCACCCCTTTAAAGTGTAAGCCCAATCTTCAGCCTCAACACCACCCACAGACCTTGCAGTAGACACTCTAAGCTCTGGACTCTATTCTAAGCCCTACATTAGGCCACCCAAAATGCTTTCCGCACCTTGTACGGGAGTCGTCGACATCAAGCTTCGACGCAGTGGAACCTAGTGCTTGAACAGAGGGCATGCCTAGGTAGCCCGAGGTTTGACACTGTGATCATGCAAGGGTTCTGTATGGTATGTCCTGGGACAAGGCTGTAGGACTTACTTGTAGAGGCAGAGTCGAAGCAAGCAGCGCTTCCACAGATAGAGTGCCCAGCCCTTGCCCTCTAGCCAGAAATCGATGTGAGAGAAGAGCAGAAGACACGGTTGCAGCCATTTCCGTCGGGTTTTGAGACCATAGGCTTCCATTCCAAACTGCCGATGCTTCGTAAGCCGCTTCTTGACGGTGTCCGGGGTACATATACGGACGTTGGTTTGCAGAAGTCTGGCCGCTCCTCTGCAATCATCAGAAGACCCTTGGATGTTGCAAAGTGTAGGCCTATATGTGATCTGAAGCCCGAAGCTGCACGGCAAATGCATGATTGCAGTCGGTTCAGCAGCCGAAGTGCTGAAACCGGTTGGCAATCGTTCTGGTAGTACTCGTCATCGCTGGTATCTTTGTAGTTCTCATCGCTGCTAGTTTTCGGGGTTTCCACGGTTCCAGATGCATGGCTGAAGGATCCTTAGCCCGCCAACTTCCTCATGGACGCCCGCGACCGTCCTGGTCTCACCGACTTCCAGACCAGCTGCTTGGCCTCTCGCGATTTAGGATTTCGGGTTCCAAGGGGTGTTGAGGACAGACTTCTGAGGTCAGCTTCGGTGGGATCCGCAAAGGGTTACACAAGTGGATTAAGGTGAATTATCTAGTCAGGCCTTTGTGCAACTTGCTTCTGCTCGGTGCTGGAAAGACTGCGATAATTCAGCACACGCACTGTGATCATATAGCGGACGGCTGAGCATTTGGCGCTGTCTTCGGGTATAGTGTTGGAGATGTCGTCCAGAATTCCCACGCTGGTTGCCGGACGATGAAGTATTGCATGCACGGGCAGTCAAGTTCAGCAGTTACTGAAGCTTGTGATCCATTTGTTTCCTTCGGCTCAGAGCCAGGGTCCGTGGTAGGCAGATGCTCGCAGTTGGACTTTGGGCGGTTGTCTTGCTGGTGGTCGCAGCGGATGAGGACTGTTCACTGCTGGTGGTGAATTCCACGATGGGCCATCGCATGTATACGAAAGATGGGTATTGTGCAGAAAAAGCCGGAGACCCTGGGACGACCCTTTGGGATAATGTGCTGGAGTTTGAAGGAATCAGGGGGGCAACCTTGCACTCCGTGCGTTTTTATCCCAAATGGTATGCCTTTCCACCAGGTCAGCCGATCCGGAAGGACTGTGTTACATGGGGCGATCGGACATACCTGACCTTCAGGGTGGGCAGGTGGCCATCTCATGATGTGCGCGATGAGTTTATGTATGGCACAAACAAGAGCAACATCCTGAAGAGTCATGCCTCGGGTGTCAAAGGTAGCTCGCACCCAACCTTCAGATAGATTTACTGTGATGTACCGGTTTCGAAGAAGATGTTGGGGTACACAGAAAAATTCCGTGGGCCTAATGCTCAGGCCGCGGTTGGGCAGTTTCCCAACCACTGAACGAAGATATCGACAGTAACCGCATGTTTCCGCGGTTGGCCTTTCTGGTGGATGTTCAACATACCCAGATCCACGTGGTGTCATGACCATCAATCAATATACCATACTATGCTATAATCGACTAGACTACACGTATACTGAACTCTACTATACTATACTATCAGAGACTAGGATTCTCTTACGCCAAGGTGACCAGATCCCTAAGAAGCTGAACTTCGTTTTCGAGGGCCATGCCACTTCCTCTTTCGGCTTGGGGCCGGCTTCGTGAGACGTGAGGCCTACAAAAAAAACTGTATCTAGTTTAGGGTTTAGGCTTTAGGCCCCAGGGGCCCTCCAAAAGATGGAAGGAATGAATGGGAGAACCAACTAGCTGCTTAGCAGGTACGAGATCGAGTTGCTAACTACTGCAAGCCTGTTCAAGCAGAGGCACGAATAGAAGGTGGCTTCTCGCTGGAGGTACGGAGGGGAGTACGAAAACTCATGAGCTGGGAAGTTCGTTGCCAGACAATTAGATATCATGGGATGACAGAGGGTATAGTATAGTATAGTAGATAGTATATAGTATATAGTAGATAGTATATAGTATATAGTCCAGCATGGCATGGTATAGTATAGTATCGTATAGTATAGTATATAGTACGGTATAGTACAGTACCGTACGGTACAGTATAGTCTAGTTTAGTATATACTATCGTACTTATAGCATAATTAGTACCTTTCATGCTCAGGTCAAACTTCGCTTTGCCCAAGGGCACGACAAAAGGAAAGCCTACCCGTGGTGGATGGGCAGCAGTCCAGAGATTTGTCACACAACGACGGCCGCGATGGTCTAGTTTGTGGGGAGCTTGGCTTTTTCCCAAACCCCGAACGGGGAGCTATCACGCCGAACAACCACAAGTTCTACGTCTATCCACGGCCCGTTTGAATGCACCCTGATTTTCTGGCCAAAGGTTGCCAACCAAGTGTCACTCCACATTCAACCATAATCAGAGTTGAACGGAGGAGCGGAGACTCTGTGATCGCAAAGTGGCAATAGCTCATAGCCAGACCATTCTGCACAGATTTGAGGCTTAGGTTCTAACAGGCCTGCGCAATGGAGCACGGCCGACTGCATCCGAATTCGTGAACAACGACAAGAGAAACCCTTGTCGTCCTCCTGACTGAGCTGCTTGCATGCTCTTGCACGGCAGGAAAGCTTCCAACTCAGCCCAACTTGCCCCAGTCATCCTGCCCAGTGCACAGTGTTTGAAAGCTTCATCGCTGAGGTACTCCTCCGAGATGAGGCCTTGATGATCTGCTGAGACAGGACTGTGCCTGTGTGGACGTAGGAGTTGCTCTCCAAGCTACCATCTCTTTCGAGATACTTGCTAACGCAAGCTCACAGATGTTCCGAAATCAAGGGGTGGGCAATAGTGTGGGGCAATCTAGTAAGGAACATCAACCACGATCACAGTTCTGTACATTCGAAGAAAAATGATCTCAGACCTAGCTCCCAGCTTGAGGTGAAACCTGAAGCCCGATAAGCCCCGTAGACACAAGCCCGGACCGCACCCCTTTGGAGTGTAAGCCGAATCTTCAGCCTCAACCCCACCCACAGACCTCGCAGTAGACATTCTAAGCTCTGGACTCTATTATAAGCCCTAAGTTAGGCTACCCAAAATGCTTCCTGCACCCTGTACAGGGGTCTTCGACATCAAGCTTCGACACGGTGGAACTTAGTGCTTGAACAGAGGGCATGCCTAGGTAGCCCGAGGTTTGACAGTGTGATCATGCAGGGGTTCTGTATAGTATGTCCTGGGAAAATGCTGCGGGACTTACCTGTAGAGGCAGAGCTGAAGCAAGCTGCGCTTCCACAGACAGAGTGCCGAGCTCGTGCCCTCTAACCAGAAATCGATGTGAGAGAAGAGCAGAAGACACGGTTGCAGCCATTTCCGTCGGGTTTTGAGACCATAGGCTTCCATTCCGGTCTTCTGATGCTTCGTAAGCCGCTTCTTGACGGTGTCCGGGGTATATGCAGACGTTGGTTTGGTAGTCTGCAAGTCTGGCCACTCCTCTGCAATCATCAAAAGACGTGGCGTCGGCTTTTGCTTAAGTGCTACCCCCTGCTTGCACCCCTTGGATGTTACAAAGCCAAGGCCTATACGAAACCCGAAGCTGCACGGCAAAATCCATGATTGGAGTCGGTTCAGCATCCGAAGTGCTGAAACCGGGAGTGCAGTTGGTTGGCAATCGTTCTGGTAGTACTCGTCTTCGCTGGTATCTTTGTTATCCTCATTGCTGCTAGTTTTCGGGGTTTACACAGTTCCAGATGTATGCCTGAAGGATCCTTAGCCCACCAACTTCCTCATGGACGCCCGCGACGGTCCTGGTCTCACCGTTTTCGAGACCAGCTGCTTGGCCTCTCGCGATTTAGGATTTCGGGTTCCAAGGGGTTTTGAGGACAGACTTCTGAGGTCAGCTTCTGTGGCATTCGCAAGGGGTTACACAAGTGGATATGGGGGAATTATCTAGTCAGGCCTTTGTGCAACTTTTTCCTGCTCGTTGCTGGAAAGACTGCGATAATTCAGCACAGGCATTGTGATCATATAGCGGACGGCTGAGCCTTTGGCGCTGTCTTCGGGTATAGTGTTGGAGATGTTGTCCAGGATTCCCACGCTGGTTTCCGGACTATGAAGTATTGCATGCACGGGCAGTCAAGTTCAGCAGTTACTGAAGCTTGTCATCCAGTTGTCTCCTTCGTTTTCTGTAGGTCCTCTTGGCTCAGAGCCAGGGTCCGTGGTACCAAGATGCTCGCAGTTGGATTTTGGGCGGTTGTCTTGCTAGTGGTCGCAGCGGATGAGGACTGTTCACTGCTGGTGGTGAATTCCACGATGGGCCATCGCATGTATGCGAAAGATGGGTTTTGTGCACCAGAAGTTGGGGACAGTGGGACGTGCCTTTTGGACAATTGGCTGGAGTTTGAAGGAGACTATGCCTGTGTGGACGTAGGAGTTGCTCTCCAAACTACCATCTCTTTCGAGAGACTTGCTAAAGCAAGCTCACAGATGTTCCGAAATCAAGGGTTGGGCAATAGTGTGGGGCAATCTAGTAAGGAACATCAACCACGATCACAGTTTTGTACATTCGAAGAAATGATCTCCCTTAGCTCCCAGCTTGAGGTGAAACCTCAAGCCCGCTAAGCCCCGTAGACACAGGCCTGAACCGCACCCCTTTGAAGTGTAAGCCTAATCTTCAGTCTCAACCCTACCCATAGACCTTGCAGCACACACTCTGAGCTCTGGACTCTATTCTACGCCTTACATTCGGCTTCCCAAAATGCTTTCCGCACCCTGCACCGCTGTACAAGGGTCGTCGACATCGACATCAAGCTTCGACGCGGTGGAACCTAGTGCTTGAACAGGGGGCATGCCTAGGTAGCCGGAGCCTTGACAGTGTGATCATGCAGGGGTTCTGTATGGTATGTCTGGGAAAATGCTGTAGGACTTACTTGTAGCGGCAGGGCTGAAGGAAGCAGCTCTTCCACAGATAGAGTGCCCAGCCCTTGCCCTCTAACCAGAAATCGATGTGAGAGAAGAGCAGAAGACACGGTTGCAGCTATTTCCGTCAGGTTTTGATTCCATTCCGGTCTTCTGATGCTTCGTAAGCCGCTTCTTGACGGTGTCCGGGGTATATACGGACATTGGTTTTGGCAGTCTGCAAGTCTGGCCACTCCTCTGCAATCATCAGAAAGACCCTTGGATGTTAGAAAGCATAGACCTATATGTGATCTGAAGCCCCAAGCTGCACGGCAAATGCATGATTGCAGTCGGTTCAGCAGCCAAAGTGCTGAAACCGGGAATGCAGTTTGTTGGCAATCGTTCTGGTAGTACTCGTCATCGCTGGTATCTTTGTAGTTCTCATCGCTGCTAGTTTTCGGGGTTTACACAGTTCCAGATGTATGGCTGAAGGATCTGATTCCCGCCTCATGGACGCCCGGGACGGTCCTGGTCTCACCGATTTCGAGACCAGCTGCTTGGCCTCTCGCGATTTAGGATTTGAGGACAGACTTCTGAGGTCAGCTTCTGTGTGATCCGCAAAGGGTTACACAAGTGGATTAAGGTGAATTATCTAGTCAGGCCTTTGTGCAACTTCTTTCTGCTCGGTGCTGGACAGACTGCGATAATTCAGCGCAGGCATTGTCATCATATAGCGGACGGCTGAGCATTTGGCGCGGTCTTCGGGTATAGTGTTGGAGATGTCGTCCAGGATTCCCACGCTGGTTTCCGGACGACGAAGTATTGCATGCACGCGCAGTCAAGTTCAGCAGATACTGAAGCTTGTGATCCAGTTGTCTCCTTCGTTTTCTGTAGGTCCTCTTGGCTCAGAGGCAGGGTCCGTGGTACCCAGATGCTCGCAGTTGGACATTGGGCTGTTGTCTTGCTGGTGGTCGCAGCGGATGAGGACTGTTCACTGCTGGTGGTGAATTCCACGATGGGCCATCGCATGTATACGAAAGATGGGTATTGTGCAGAAAAAGCCGGAGACCCTGGGACGACCCTTTGGGATAATGTGCTGGAGTTTGAAGGCACGAAGGGGGCAACCTTGTACTCCGTGCAGTTTACTCCCAAATGGTATGCCTTTCCACCAGGGCAACCGATCCGGAAGGACTGTGCTACATCCGATGGGACAAAGCTGACCTTCAGGGTGGGCAGGTGGCCATCTCATGATGTGCGCGATGAGTTTATGTATGGCACAAACAAAAGCAGCATCCTGAAGAGTCATGCCTCGGATGTCAAAGGTAGCTCGCACCCAACCTGCAGATAGATTTACTGGGATGTACTGGTTTCGAAGAAGATGTTGGGGTACACAGAAAAATTCCGTTGGCTTAATGCTCAGGCCGCGGTTGGGCAGTTTCTCAACCACTGAACGAAGATATCGACAGTAACCCCATGTTTCCGCGGTTGCCCTTTCTGGTGGATGTTCAACATACCCAGATCCACGTGGTGTCATGACCATCAATCAATATACCATACTATACTATAATCGACTAGACTATACGTATACTGAACTCTACTATACTATACTATCAGAGACTGTGACCAGATCCCGAAGGAGTTGAACTTCGCTTTCGAGGGCCTTGCCACCTTCCTCTTTCGGCTTGGGGCCGGCTTCGTGAGACGTGAGGCCCACAAAAAAAGCCCTGTATGGAGTTTAGGGTTTAGGCTTTAGGCCCTTGAGCCCATGCTGAAAAGGCCCCAAGGGCCCTCCAAAAGATGGAAGGAATGAATGGGATAACCAAGTAGCTGCTTAGCAGGTACGAGATCGAGTTGCTTACTACTGCAAGCCTGTTCAAGCAGAGGCACGAATAGAAGGTGGGTTCTCGCGGCAGGGACGGAATGGAGCAAGAAAACTCATGAGCTGGGAAGATGGTTACAGGAAAACAAGTAACATGGGATGACGTATGGTATAGCATATAGTATACAGCATATAGTATATAGTATGTAGTATAAAGTATATAGTATATCGTCTATAGTCTTTTGTCTATAGTCTTTCGTCTATAGTCTATAGTCTATAGTCTATAGTATATAGTATATCTAGTACTTATAGTACAGTACCTTTCATGCTCAGGGAAACTTCGCTTTGCCCAAGGGCACGACAAAAGGAAAGCCTACCCCTGGTGGATGGGCAGCAGTCCAGAGATTTGTCACATCCCCAACGACGGCCGCGATGGTCTAGTTTGTGGGGGGCTTAGCGTTTTCCCACACCGCGAACGGGGAGCTATCACGCCGAACAACCACAAGTTCTACGTCTATCCGCGGCCCATTTGAGTGCACCCTGATTTTCTGGCCAAAGGTTGCCAACCAAGTGTCACTCCACATTCAACCTTAATCAGAGTTGAACGGCGGAGCGGAGACTGTGTGATCCCAAAGTGGCAATAGCTCTTAGCCAGACCATTCTGCACAGATTTGAGTCTCAGGTTCTAACAGGCCGCGCAATGGAGCACGGTCGACTGCATCCGAATTCGTGAACAACGAAAAGAGAAACCCTTGTCGTCCACCTGACTGAGCTGCTTGCATTCTCTTGCACAGCAGGAAAGTCAGCCCAACTTGCCCCAGTCATCCTGCCCAGTGCACAGTGTTTGAAAGCCTCATCGCTGAGGTACTCCTCCGAGATGAGGCCTTGATGATCTGCTGAAACAGGACTATGCCTGTGTGGATGTAGGAGTTGCTCTCCAAACTACCATCTCTTTCGAGAGACTTGCTAAAGCAAGCTCACAGATGTTCCTACAGCCAAGCGCAGACAGTCTAGCATGGAACGCCAGCCACCGTCAGATTCTTGCATATTCGGAGAAAATGATTTCCATGTGCTCCTTGTTGTCAGTTTTATTTTCCACAGTTCCCGATGTATGGCTGAAGGATCTCTAGGCCGCCAACCTCCTCATGGACGCCCGCGACGGTCCTGGTCTCACCGATTTCGAGAACAGCTGCTTGGCCTCTCACGATGTAGGATTTCGGGAAAAAAAGGGGTTTTGAGGACAGACTTCTGAGGTCAGCTTCTGTGGGATCCGCAAAGGGTTACACAAGTGGATATGGGGCAATTATCTACTCAGGCCTCTGTGCAATTTTGACTGCTCGGTGCTGGAAAGATTGCGATAATTCGACACAAGCACTGTGATCATAAAGCGGACGGCTGAGCAGTTGGCAGCGTCTTCCGGTATAGTGTTGGAGATGTCGTCCAGGATTCCCACGCTGGTTTCCGGACTATGAAGTATTGCATGCACGGGCAGTCAAGTTCAGCAGTTGCTGAAGTTTGTGATCCAGTTGTCTCCTTCGTTTTCTGTAGGTCGTCTTGGCTCAGACCCAGGGTCCGTGGTACCAAGATGCTCGCAGTTGGACATTGGGCCGTGGTCTTGCTAGTGGTCGCAGCGGATGAGGACTGTTCACTGCTGGTGGTGAATTCCACGATGGGCCATCGCATGTATACGAAAGATGGGTATTGTGCTCAAAAGGCCGGAGACAGTGGTACGACCCTTGAGAACAATGTGCTGGAGTTTGAAGGAACGAAGGGGGCAACCTTGTACTCCGTGCAGTTTACTCCCAAATGGTATGCCTTTCCACCAGGGCAGCCGATCCGGAAGGACTGTGCTACATACGATGGGACAAAGCTGACCTTCAGAGTGGGCAGGTGGCCGTCTGAGGATGTGCGCGATGAGTTTATGTCGGGCACAAACAAAAGCAGCATCCTGAAGAGTAGAGTCAAGCTGGATTGGAAATGTAGCTCGCACCCAACCTTCAGCCAGATTTACTGTGATATAGTGGTTTCGAAGAAGATGTTGGGGTACACAGAAAAATTCCGTTGGCTTAATGCTCAGGCCGCGGTTTGGCAGTTTCCCAAAAACTGAACGAAGATATCGACAGTGACCCCCCGTTTCCGCGTTGCCCTTGCTCTCGGTTGCTGAACTCTACCATACTATACTATCAAAGACTATATCAAGGACTGGGATTCTCTTACGCCAAGGTGACCAGATCCCTGAGAAGTTGAACTTCGTTTTCGAGGGCCTTGCCACCTTCGTCTTTCGGCATGGGGACGGCTGGTTTGGACGTGAGGCCCGCAAAAAAAGCACTGTATTGAGTTTAGGGTTTAGGCTTTAGGCCCCAAGGGCCCTCCAAAAGATGAAAGGAATGAATGGGATGACCAGGTAGCTGCTAGCTTGTACGAGATCCAGTTGCTTACTACTGCAAGCCTGTTCAAGCAGAGGCACGAATAGAAGGTGGGTTCTCGCTGCAGGTACGGAGGGGAGTAAGAAAACTCATGAGCTGGGAAGTTCGTTACCAGACAATTAGATAACATGGGATGACGTATAGTATATAGTATATAGTCTATAGTATACAGTCTATAATCTATAGTCTATAGCCTATAGTCTATAGTATATAGTATAGTACTTGCAGTACAGTGCCTTTCATGCTCAGGTCAAACTTCGCTTTGCCCAAGGGCACAACAGTGGGAAGGCCTACAACTGGTGGATGGGCAGTCCAGAGATTTGTCACTGCCCCGACTCCGACAACCCTCGCTCCGATGGTCTAGTTTGTGGGGAGCTTGGCTTTTTCCCATACAAAGGGCCGAACAGCCACAAGTTCTACGTCTATCTGCGGCCCATTTGAGCGCACCCTGATTTTCTGCGCCAAAGTTTGCCAACCAAGTGTCACTCCACATTCAACCAGAATCAGAGTTGAATGGAGGAGCGGAGACAGTGTGATCCCAAAGTGGCAATAGCTCATAGCCAGACCATTCTGCACAGATTGAGGCTTAGGTTCTAACAGGCCTGCGCAATGGAGCACGGCCGACTGCATCCGAATTCGTGAACCACGACAAGAGAAACCCTTGTCGTCCACCTGACTGAGCTGCTTGCATGCTCTTGCACGGCAGGAAAGCTTCCAACTCAGCCCAACTTGCCCCAGTCATCCTGCCCAGTGCACAGTGTTTGAAAGCTTCATCGCTGAGGTACTCCTCCGAGATGAGGCCTTGATGATCTGCTGAGACAGGACTATGCCTGTGTGGATGTAGGAGTTGCTCTCCAAACTACCATCTCTTTCGAGAGACTTGTTAAAGCAAGCTCAGAGATGTTCCGAAATAAGGGGGTGGGCAATAGTGTGGGACAACCTAGTAAGGAACATCAACCATGATCACAGTTCTGTACATTCGAAGAAATGATCTCCCCTAGCTCCCAGCTTGAGGTGAAACCTGAAGCCCGATAAGCCTCGTAGACACAAGCCTTAACCGCACCCCTTTGAAGTGTAAGCCTAATCTTCAGCCTCAACCCTACCCATAGACCTTGCAGTAGACACTCTAAGCTTTGGACTCTATTCTAAGCCCTAAGTTAGGCTACCCAAAATGCTTCCCGCACCCTGCACCCTGTACAGGGGTCTTCGACATCAAGCTTCGACACGGTGAAACCTAGTGCTTAAACAGAGGGCATGCCTAGGTAGCCCGAGGTTTGACAGTGTGATCATGCAGGGGTTCTGTATAGTATGTCCTGGGAAAATGTTGTGGGACTTACTTGTAGAGGCAGAGCTGAAGCAAGCTGCGCTTCCACAGACGGAGTGCCGAGCTCGTGCCCTCTAACCAGAAATCGATGTGAGAGACGAGCAGAAGACACGGTTGCAGCCATTTCCGTTGGGTTTTGAGACCATAGGCTTCCATTCCGGTCTGCCGATGCTTCGTAAGCCGCTTCTTGACGGTGTCCGGGGTATATACGGACGTTGGTTTGGCAGTCTGCAAGTCTGGCCACTCCTCTGCAATCATCAAAAGACCCTTGGATGTTACAAATAGGCCTATATGTGATCTGAAACCCGAAGCTGCACGGCAAATGCTGGATTGCAGTCGGTTCAGCAGCCGAAGTGCTGAATCCGGAAGTGCAGTTTGTTGGCAATCGTTCTGGTTGTACTCGTCATCCCTGGTATCTTAATTTGTAATTCTCATCGCTGCTAGTTTTCAGGACTTCCGCAGTTCCAGATGTATGGCTGAAGGATCTGAAGCCAACCTCCTCATGGACGCCCGCGACGGTCCTGGTCTCACCGTTTTCGAGACCAGCTGCTTGGCCTCTCGCGATTTAGAATTTCGGGTTCCAAGGGGTGTTGAGGACAGACTTCTGAGGTCAGCTTCTGTGGGATCCGCAAATGGTTACACAAATGGATATGGAGTAAATATCTAGTCAGGCATTTGTGCAACTTGCTTCTGGTCGGTGCTGGAAAGACTGCGATAATTCAGCACAGGCACTGTGATCATATAGCGGACGGCTGAGCAGTTGGCAGCGTCTTCGGGTATAGTGTTGGAGATGTCGTCCAGGATTCCCACGCTGGTTTCCGGACTATGAAGTATTGCATGCACGGGCAGTCAAGTTCAGCAGATACTGAAGCTTGTGATGCAGTTGTCTCCTTCGTTTTGTGTAGGTCCTCTTGGCTCAGAGCCAGGGTCCGTGGTACCAAGATGCTCGCAGTTGGACATTGGGCGGTTGTCTTGCTGGTGGTCGCAGCGGATGAGGACTGTTCACTGCCGGTGGTGAATTCCACGATGGGCCATCGCATGTGACCTGAGGGCCTGCCTGACCTGAGGAAACATGTGCTTACCACCGCTTAGTCTGCCACAAGCGAGATTCTTCAGGAGCATTTGTCTTTCACGATGCAGAAAGCTGGGTCGTCGTCTTGTTTCCAAATCTTGATGCCGGGAAGAATCTGCTGCTCCTCAGGCTCCTGTTGAGTTTCAGTCGGCTGGAGAATTCAGATTGCTTCGTAGAAAACAGAATCGGCGGCCCCCCACAGCAAGAAGTTGAGCCCATGCTGGGTGATTGATGGATCGGCTCCCTCCGCATGAGCGATTACGAGAAAGCCAGGATGAGCAGAACGCCGCGAGATGTGCTACTTGTGGCCGTACCAGGTGCAGATGGTTCAGCACATCCTTTCGAAGTGGATCCTTTCGAAGTCTTGAGCATGCAGGTTGCACCGTGAAGCCATCGCCGCCTCAGCCAAAGCTCGACGGGAATCCATACCGGTGGGGGCCTAAAGCCTTCAGGATGCTTCAGTGTTTCAGATAGGAAAATTTTGTGGGATGCTTCTCGATGTGTCCCATGTATGTGTCAGATCGGGTGGCGCTGCCTACGATCGCAGATTGAACAAGGTTTGGTGCAAGTATACTATAGGCGATCCGGTTGGCCTGCAGACATGCAGTCCTGCGGTCTTGCTTCTGCCGTCGTCGTCGTACTCCTGCTTGGTTTCTCGGTGCAGCCAGACGACAGGCGATGATAAAGCTGTTGATGTAGACACAAAGCACACAAACAGCTTTTGCGAGCGTGGTTAACAGCCAGAGCCTGACTTCAACTGGTACCTGACGCCTGACGCGAGGTTTCTTTAGGTGTTGGTTGGTGGAAATGAGGTGAAGCCATCAACACAGATGATTCAGGCCTTCTGTCCAGAAGGATTACGAGCGGACTGCTGGGCGAGTTGTGATGGACCAATGCTTTCGCAAGCCTGGCCAAATACGACGGCAGTGCGCAGTTGGTCTTGGCTCCGCAGGGTCCTCCCACATCCGCGCGGCTACAGCACTGCCCCTTCTTTGACTTTTCGGCTTCGTATATAGTCGATGTGCACGGCCTGTGTTTACGAGGCTATAGGGAAACTGCGCAAGTGCGTTCTGGCAGCTATTCGGCATGCCAGCTGCAAATGTAAAAGACACGTGCTTGATCCGGGTCACATATTCAAACGCCGTCACCAGGCTCGTCACACATTGCTTGACTTCCCTCTCGCAGCATCTTGTCATGAGCAGGGGCACAGGCCTGCATCCGTCCGGTGAGGTGGGCCCTAAACCCTAAACTCCATAATTTCTTTTGCGTACCAAAGAATCTGCAAGGATGAGGTGGAGCTCGGAATCTGCTTTCGAAGCCTTCGATGAGATATCTGGAATGGCCGAATACGTAGGCAGAGTGAGTTTGGGTCCTTTGCCACATCCGCACGGCCACAGGGAAGCATGCAGTAAATTGCCGTGAGTTTGACTGCTTGACTTTTGGCCTTCGTGGTAGTTACTTCTCAAGTTGTTCTCCGCCTACTTGGAGAAACTGCTTGCCGGAGCACGAGATCCACGATCAAAGACATTCACCTTCGGGGACCTCGTCCTTGTAGAGAGCAGTTGCTCGCATGTTCACACTGCACCACAGTTGGCTTGACAAGCTTGTAGCGGCCATTTCCCAGAGGTCGATGCACTGTAGCTCGCTCCAACCTGTACTGGAGACTCGACTTGGTCATTCTGGTGGCTTTCTTTGGTCTGCGTGCGAGAAAGCAGCCAAAGCTGCGCAGCTTCATTGCTGCAGTTGCGCCACTAGCAGGCCTTCAGTTTTTGTTCGTGAGTTGGGCCATGGGCTTTGTAGGAAAGCCTTGACCGAGAGCAGCTGTTCGCAGGTGCGCCCTGCACCACAGTTGCTTCACAAGCTGCAGAGATTTCTCAGGGTGGTGTACGTAGCTCAACATGGGACTCGAGCATTGTGGTGGCTTTGCTGGTAAGCCTGAGTGCGAGAAAGCAGCAAAGCTTCGGTCTATTCGGCATTGCTGCATTGCGCGACCAGCTGACAGGATAGGCTCCCTGAAGATGCCTAGCGGGCCCAGCGCTTTGTTCAGTGAGTTGTGGGAGAAGCTGAGCTCATCGCGCACTGGTCTCAGGGACGACGCCACCCTTTTTGGACGTGATGCCGTCAGCAATCCCGTCAACCATTTGTCCAGGCTCATCGTGCAACTAACTGCTGGCTGTGGATGTGTGTGTCAGTGTGCAACCTGCTCTGCCAAAGGGCCAGGCTCGATGCAGCAATTTTGACAAGCAGTGGAGCCACGCAGTTTCCGAGCTCAAGCATATGGTCCAGGCAAGTCCACCTGACCGACTGTGCCTGGGTTCAGTTCGCTTGGGCGTCTGCTTCTGCTGCAGGGCGAGATGCGCATTGGATTCAGCATCCTCTCGGTTTCCGATGAGCCGGGGAGAACGCTGGCTAGGATGCCTTTCAGATCAGGTCACTGAGGGGGTTCACGGACATACGCCGTGGCAGCAGGCTCATCGTGTAGTGGTCTCAGGTCTGTTCGGACGTGATGTCGCCAGCAACACCGTCAACCATTTTCCCAGACTGATCGTTCAACTAACTCCTGGCTGTACATGTGTGTCAGTACGGATTTCTGTGTGGCAAATTTGCGGCGTGCCGTTTCCAAACGCCAAGTACAGGTGCTTGATCCCGTTCAAAAATTCAGAAACTGTAACACGCTTGTCACGCATTACTTCAGCTCAGATGTATGTATATATATATATATATGTATATACATACATATGGTAAGTGGGCAGTGTCTGCGCCCTTGGGAAGGGAGGGTCTTCCTCCGAGAGCCTGCCAGGCTTGCCAGGCCCGGCTGCATGCACGATCAAGCCCTTCGGCTCCAGTTACCCAAATAGTGGCTTGTTTAGGGCCTATGGTCTAGGGTTTAGGGTGTGGGTTACTAACCATATATTACGTACCCCAGTAACCTACTATTTAGGTAACTGGAGCCCTAGGGAAGGCTTGATCACTTCCCGAAGCCCGAAGCAAGCGATTAGCTGAGCAGGTTGAAGACGGGCTTGCATCCCATTCCCTCCAGCTCAC